GCGCTGCGTGGTTTGTAGGACCTCAGTTCTCCCTCCAGGGACTGAACTCAGGCTCCAGCAGTGAAAGCAGAGCCCTAACCACTGGACCACCGGGGAACTTTTATCATCTCCAAGCACCACCCCACGGGTTAGCTCCCAACTGCCTTTCCAGAGTCACTCCTTTAGCCCAGTGATCAAACTCAGAGTTGGCTCAATGGTAAAGAATCCATCTGCCAATGCAGGAGACTCGGGAGACACAGATTGGATCCCTGGGTCCACAAGATCCCCTGGAGTAGGAAATGGAAACACTCTCCAGAATTCTTGCCCGGAAAATTCCATGGACAGAGGAGCCTGGTGGGCTACAGTGCGTGGGGCTGCAAAGAATCGGACACGACTGAGCAACTGAACATGCACAGAAACTCAGAGTCAGTAAGAGAGGACCAACCTGGCATCGTGTGCTTCTTGATGAGATGTGGAAAATCCATGTAACCTGAATCTGCACCAATTTTGAGATCTAACTTCTATATAAAGGAAATGGAGGGAATATGGTAATAAGTTAAACATTAGCAGGAGAAAACAGACATATCCAGATGGTGGGACTGATCTTTTCAAAGAGTCAATACCTGAAGGCATTTAAAAATAAACAATTTGAGAGCAGAGCGAGGTAGGGGCTGTTCGTATTGTTGTTCAGTTGCTCAGTCGGGCCTGATTCTTTGTGATCCCATGGACTGCAGCACAACAGGCTTCCCTGTCCTCCACCATCTCCCTGAGTTTGCTCAAACTCATGTCCTTTGTGTCGATGATGCCATCCACTACCCCATCCTCTGTCATCCCCTTCTCCTCCTGCCCTCAGTCGTTCCCAGAATCAGGGGCTCTTCACATCAGGTGGCCAAAGTATTGCACTTCAGTTTAAGCATCAGTCCCTCCAATGAATATTCGAGGTTAATTTCCTTTAGGATGGACTGGTTGGATCTCCCTGCAGTCCAAGGGACTCTCAAGAGTCTTCCCCAGCACCACAGTTCAAAGCACCAATTCTTCAATACTCAGCCTTCTTTGTGATCCAAATCTCACATCTGTACACGACCACTGGAAAAACCATAGCTCTGGCTCAACAGACCTTTGTTGACAAGGTAATGTCTCTGCTTTTTAACACTCTGCCTAGTTTGGTCCTAACTTTGCTTCCAAGAAGCAAGTATCATTTAATCTCATGGCTGCAGTTACCGCCCAAGGGGCTGTTCTAGAATAAAAGAAATTAAAGGGACCTGACAAGTCCAAGTCCGCTCTTGTGAGCACACTGGATTCTGATTTGAAAGGAAAAAAGCTAAAAAGTTATTCAGGGAAAATTGGAGAAAACATATTATAATAAAACCTTTCCTCAGTCTCATGTGAAGAATGTGGATAACACGTTTAGGTATGAAAGTGTATTTAACGTGTATTTATGTGTTTGTATTTATTTGTATAATTTGTATTTAACAAACCGTAAACTCAGGATCGGATCTCCAAACCAGTGAATGATTGACTGACAGAGAGGAAATACCAGTAGATCCTATACTGCAAGCACTTAATGCTTATGTGTACGTGTTTGGCATGCACGGTTCACTTAGTCTTTATAACAACCCATTAACTGGGCAGCACTAGCCCCACTCTGCAGATGGAAAACTTAAGACTTGGAAAGGTCAAGCAGCCTACCCCTTCAGGCGTTTGGGACCACAGCCAGGATTTGAATCCAGGTCTATCTGCAACTAAAGCTCTCACCTTCTCCATTTGTCAGCTGAAAAAAGGTTGGAAGTCTGCAGAGTCTGAATGTTGCTTCAGTTTTTCTCTAAGTGATAAGAGTTTGAGGTAAATTCTGGTTATGAACTACCGGGGGTGGCAAGGAAAGAGGATATGTATATTCATTGAGAAACCTAACACCTCAAAGCGCTTCACAGGCAGTAGAAAAAATGGAACTCAGAGGTGGAATCATTGACTTAAGTTCCATTGATGGAGGCAAGGCTCAAGCCAAAGTGCAGTTGACCTGCGTCTAGGCTCTTGGCCACAGTGACCCCTGACCCGACCCCTTCTAGAGGGAGGAATCGGAAATCCATAGCTAATTTCAGAACTTGGGACATTATTTTGTAGACAGAATTGCAGAAGTCAAAGACAGCTTTTGTTGATGTTGCAAATGATCTATTCAACGACAGAAAACCCCTTGAGTTCTCTCCAATCTTGAATGTTTAAAAAAGTTACGTAGACCCCACTAATCAGCCTTGAACATCAATGGCTGTGTGGAGTTCTACACAGGAGACAGTGAGAAGTCAGGGCACAGAGCAGGGCTTCTCTCAGGGGAGGCACAGACCCCACGAGAAGTGAGAACCTCCTTCTGACCACAAAGGTCGGGAACTGAACTGGGATGGCATGGCCCCTTTAGGTTTTGGAGTTGTATTTTTAAGGGCTTTTTAAAATTTCTTATTTTATTTTTTGCTCTGTGACAAATTACCACAAACTTAACAGCTTAAAACAATACCCATTCACTATCTCACATTCTTTAGGTCAAACAGCAAGCAAAACATGGCAGGTTCTCTGCTCAGGCTAAAATAAAGTGTTGGTTGTTGCATTTGGATCTCAGTCCTCCTCTGAGGTCATTCCTGCTATTGACAGAATTCAGTTCCTTGTGGCTGTAGGACTGAAGTTCCTACTTCCTCAACGGCTGTGGGGACTAGAGCAGCTCTCATCTGCTGGAGGCTGCTCTCATGTAGAAGATAATAAATTAGCATGGGACACAAGGTATTGGAGAGGAAGACATCCAAATGGATGATAAAGGTGACAGAATCATGAGTTAATACAGATGTTTTCAATCAGCAGTGACTTGGCCCCACGAGCAATGGTTGACAGTGTTTTAAGACATCTTCGGTTGTCACAGCAGAGGCGTATTGCCAACATCTAGTGGGTTGAGGTCAAAGATGCTTCTAAACATCCTACAGCGCACAGGATGGCGCAGAATTATCCAGCCCAATATGCCAATAGTGATGAGGCTGAGGAACCATGAGTTAAGGGCCAGTAATTAAAGCAAAAAGAGTGAGGGAAGGGCCTGGAATAGAGCTCTGAGTCTGAGAAAGAGCTGGAGAAGAGGAGGTAAACAAGAGGACAGAGTTTAGAAGCCGGTGGGAAGAGGGTGTTGATTCTGGAAAGTGTCAGGAGCTGCTGAGAGTTGAGCAAAATGAGTAAGAGCTATCGTTGGACTCGGGGACAGGGGGTGAACAGAGGCCACTGGAGACTGTGTCTAAGCAGTTTCAGTGGAGTCCTGTTGGTGGATGCCCATCTGGGTGGCACTAGAGTGTCCTCCAGACAGAAGGGACATCAACAGCCAACAGAGACAAACCTTTGAAGAGAAGCAAGGAGCGAGTTGGACATGACCAAGCAGGGACACCTCTCCATGGGGACCAGAGGAAGGAAAACAGGTGCACCCAAAAATCTGACCGAGGAGGGATGGGGCCACCTTTGAGAATAAAGGAAAGGAGGAGAGGCTAAAGATGCGAGGGAGAGAAACAGTTCTGTTTAGGACTCCTAGGTAGGCAGTGACCAGAAAACTTGTCATGTCTACAGAGACTGTGTTTAAAATTGTGAGGACATTCTGAAGATCTCTTAACTAGCAGACAGATGGTTCTGGCTGCTGTTTCTTGACAGAAACAACAAAAATCAGGGGCATGCTTCCCAAACAAAGTACTACTGTCCTCCTCCCTCCTAAACCATCCCTGCAGTGATAGGGGTGGTGCTCTGAAAGGCCTTAAGGTCTTCCATCTCCTAAGCCTTTGACATCAATTAGAAATCTTCCAGAAGGGGGCGCAGGGAGGGATGAGAAGCTGACTTCAATGAACTGTTTGGATCTGTTGCTTTTCTGTCCTTAGCCAAAATACCTGGATTTCTGGTCTCTACTCTCTCCAAGAGCAGACAATCCCCCAGAAATGGGTGGAGTTCGCCAACCACTTCCCAAGGGGCTGTTACTTCTTAGAGGAGAGTCCCATGTGCCAATGGAGGGACCCTCCCCTCTACTACTTATGAAACAGTTCCACAAACTGGTTGTTTGACATGAAATTCTAAATTACAATCTGACCGGCCTAAGACCACAAGGAGAGAAACAGGAGACTCCAACGTGGCCCCTCTTTCCCCCAGAGCTCCAGTCTTTTCACTCCGTCTAATCTTTAGCCCCACACGCGGGCCGCCTCCTGCTCCCTCCTCATCTCGGAAAGTGCGGAGACACTGGGGGAGTCCCAGGGAAGACCGATTTCTCCGACAAGGGTACTAACACCGCGGGCGCTGAAGGTCGGGGGTCCCCCCTAATTATCTCTGAACCTGGATTATCGCTCCTCCGAGCGAGGGCACTTGGGGTCCAGGGGCTCCTGGTCTTCCCCGCGCCGCGCATCAGGGCCCACCACCCGGACGTCCCTGTTTTCCCTGCATCCTGGGAAACCCAGCGGAGGATTTTGCGAACCACGGGGCACCCTGTGCCCAAGGCCACCGCGCAGACTAGCCGGGCCGCATCTCGGCTCCCTGGATAAGCGAGTGAGGTTCCGGCATCTCCACCCTTTACGGGGGTCGGGTCCACCTCGGAGCAGATCGCGCGGGGACATCAGACGACTCCAGCGCCACGGTACGCTTCCAGCCAGGCCTGCCCTCCCGCCCTCGCGTCCTCCGCCGCCGCGCCGCCTCGACGACTCGACTCTGTGCCTCGCACGGAGGGCCTTAGCTCCTTGCGGGTATCCCCAAGACGTCGGAAGGGAGTCTCTGGCGGGCGAGCAAGGGGCACCGCGTTGGAAGGGAATCCCACGCTGCACCCTTGGGGCCTGAAGGAGGAAACGCGGTGGCTGCTGGAGGGTGCAGACAGCCAGGGCCGCGAGGCCCTAAAGGCCTGACGAGGCTGGCATCGCCCGGGTTGCGGGGGTCAGGCGGCGCAGGAGACGCAGGGTCTGGGAATTACCGGAGCGGCTCGGCCCGAGCGCATCTGGACCTGGGCGGGGCGGAAAGCTGACCCCGGGGCGGGGATGCAGACTGCACTCCTCCAAAGCTGTCGCGNGCGCAAGCTGACTCTCAGCCAGATCTACCAGTACGTGGCCGGCAACTTCCCCTTCTACAAGCGCAGCAAGGCGGGCTGGCAGAACTCCATCCGCCACAACCTGTCCCTCAACGACTGCTTCAAGAAGGTGCCCCGCGACGAGGACGACCCAGGTAACAGAGGCGCGCCCCCTCGCGAGTCCAGGACTCCGGGCTGCGGGCACTCGAGGGACCCGGCGGCCCCGGACCGTCCAGGCTTCCCAGCTGGGGGAGCCGAGGCGGGAGGAGGTGGGGAGGAGACACCGATTGGGCCGCCCACCGGCTGCAGGAAGCCAGCCGACCCCCGCCGCCCTGAATTCCTGTCCAGGACAAGTGAGTCTCTAATTCTCGGCCCGCTCTCGAGAAGGAAGAAGCCCGGGAGCTAGCCTGCCGGGGCGACCTTGGGAATTGGTTCTCTCGGGGGCGCGTGTCCTCTGCTTAAAGCGGGGAAGACGGCGGCTCCCCGCCTCCCCCGAAGGTTAAGACAAAGGTGATGCCGCTTTGGGAGGCTGCAGAGAGACCAGGCGAAGTATCCGCCCCACTGGCGAAGCAATGACCGGAGGAGGGCGGGTTCCGTTCTTCACTTCGCAGGCCTTCTCTCTGGCCTTGCCCGCGGCGAGGCTCTGTACTTCCCCGGCGTCGTCCTTCCCTGTGGACGCCCGATCCGGTATACAGCGTCCCCTCAAGGTTTGGGGTGGGGGTGAGGGTTCACGGAGGGGCCGGTGGGAATTCCTCAGAAGTTGACCTCCATTTCTCACCTTCTCCCCCATCACCTCGGCCAGACCCCGTTTTTTCTGAACCGGGCCCTTTCTTCTTCCGCAGGTAAAGGCAATTACTGGACCCTGGATCCAAACTGCGAGAAGATGTTTGACAACGGCAACTTCCGAAGGAAGAGGAAGCGGAGAGGGGAGGCGAGCGCGGTCGCACCGTCGGGTCCCCAGAGCCTGGCTGGAGCCAAGACGCCTGAGCTGGAGCCCCTGGGCGCCGTCTCCCCTGACCTGCGGGCCTCGGCGTCCACGCCCGCGCCCGAGGCCGCGGCCTGCTTCTCCAGTTTGGCCTCGGCCGTGGGTGCCCTGGCTGGAGGCTTCAGTCCCTTTCCCGGGGGCCTGGCGGGAGACTTTTCCTTCGGGAGACCCACAACGATCGCCACTCACAGCCCCCAGGTCCCCGGCCCGGCGCCCGGCTTTGCCGCTGGCCAGCAGACGGCGGCCACCAGCTTCCGCGTCGGTCACTTCATCTACAGCCGGGAGGGGACTGAAGTTTGATGGGAGGCCTGGAACTGTGCCGAGTGCGGGGTCCACAGGCGCTGAGCTCAAGGCACCGCGAGCTACCCCCCCCCAACCCCCCGCAGAGGTCACGACTGGGCTGGGGGTGCAGGGCCCAGAGTCCCGCTGCAGGGAACTCAGGCCGCCATGCACTCCTCACCCAGCGACCATCCAGGTGGGGCGAGTGGGCGCCGCCCCCCCATCCTTCTAGTTGGCCTGGCCCTGGAACCCACGCTCCTAAAGGGTTCCATCTGAAAGGGGCGACAGGCTGGCACTCACCCCAGATTTTCCGCGGGGAGCCTGACCCAACCCCAAAGATACTTTGGTGTCTTAGATAGGTGCTACTGGGGATCCCCGGAACGCTCTGGGTGGGATTTTTTCCCACCTTTCCAGCCTGGCCCACCCGGCGCCCAGGCCCTTTCCTCGGAGCTCCAGGGAAGCCCGAGGGGTTCAGGAGCACCCCCCGGGGGACCGGGTGGGTGCCCTCACCCTTAGAGGGTCAGAAGCAAGAGGTGTCTGGAGCTGAAGGGAGTAAGAGGGACTTCCCGATGGCTGAAGCTGCGCTCGGGGGAGGAGGGCAGCCAGCGGTCCTGCGAACCGCGGCTCCTTCCCTGCCACTCAGCGCCCACCTCCCTCCCCAGTCTGTGGACCAGGTCATCACCTCGAGGGGGTTGCCGATGGGGGCAGTGCCTAGCGCCCTGGAGTCTCAGGCTGGGTTTAGGCTTGCCCCCTTCCCGCCTCCCCCTCAACGCTCACACCCTGAGAAGTCACTCGTGTTCTCTCTGCGCCCACCCCTCACCCCGCAGTTTGGGCCCCAGCTCCCCCACCCCTGAGCCTTCGGTGCACATGTAAGCCGCTCCCCCATTTGTATTCGCTCAGAAGGTCACCTCTGGAGCCAGCAGCCTTTGGGAGGAGACGTGTTGGCCTAGGTAGCTCCCCGAGTTTCTGTCGCCCGGGTCGGGGTTGGGGTAGGGGGAAAGTGGCGCATTTGGTTTGCCCTGGAGCAGAGGGCTCTTGGCGGGGCACACCCACTCTCTGTGCTCTGGGGGCGCAGGAGAAGTGTCTTTCCTAGGAGGCCGAGCGGGAGAGGACCCCGTGAACTTGGGGGAGGGCAGGGGATTTGGCGAGCCCGAGCGGAGCCGCTGCCTCCAGGGAGCTGCAACGGTTTTCCCGGGTGAACACCAAGACTGACCGCGCAGCCCAGCGCAGCCGCTGCCGCTGGAAGGCAGGCCCGCGGTTTGTCGATTTCTTAAGGCTGAGCCAGCTGTGATCTTGATGTGTGTGTGTGTGTGTGTGTGTGTGTGTGTGTGTGTGTAAGGCGGGGGTGGGGGAGAGGAAGGGAAGGCGCTTGGGTGTGAATAGAATAAGCCAGGTGTTGGGGTGAGTTTGGAGCCCCCGGCGATGTTCCTTTGAGCCTCTCTGGAAGCACAGTGGCTTGCTTCGCATCTCCTCTCTGCCGCCAGGCTGGGGAGGGCGAGCTGGGTCCTAGCTCTGTTACCTTACTTTGCTGCCAAACGGACAATCAACCCTAAGCTCTCCCCGCGAAGGTAGTACAATTTAAGAAAACCAGCAAAGAAAAAGAAAATCCTCACATTACAAAAGGAGAGAATCTTCTTTCTCTCAGGCCTATTTAATTAACAAAAATGCTAAAAATAAACACCAACAGACTGTAACTTGAATGTACCTGTTGTTCTGTACATTTTTGAAGGATTCACCAGGGTTTTCAGCATTTTCAGTCTAGATTCTGTATTCCAGATTTCTGCAGGAAACTTGGAGTAAAGGAACTTTTAAAAATAAGCTGGACAACACTGGGAAAGTACAATGCACACGTTTACAATTAATGGAGCTTTCAGAAAATTGGCTGATAAATGTATACATAAGCATCACACATGAAAGCTGCATGGCTGTTAGAAGCTGCCATTTTTGTTCTTCCAACAATGGTATTTTGGTTAAAGTGGAGGGGAAAGGGCTTCACAAAGATCTTTCAACTTTTAGTTTGTTTGACTAAAAATCAATTTTTGATATTGAAAAATGGTTCTTCCATTCCTGCTTTATACCATTAATTAGTAATCGTATAACCAAATAGATGACTCTTTCTGAGAAGTGCATAGTTTAATTCTAGCAGTGCAAGGTATTTGGGAATCAGAAACCATCTCATTTCCGTGACAGTTTATTTGTCGGGATGTATTTTCACAATGAAGGGGGTCAGCGTGGGGGGAGGGGTGCCGGGAGACAAAATGCAGTTCCTGGGCCCTGGGGCAGTCAACTTGGGAACCATTTCACATGATCCCAAAGATAGATTTTCTCAGAAGAAAGAAATTGCTGAAATCAAAATAAGTAAGAAAAGCAAAACAGCTTGTCACCAGTTTATAACTAAATATCTTCCTTGGGCCAGGTCTGGTGAATTTAACCTTAGTTCCCAAGCAAGCTGCATGTGGGCAACTGAAGGACCAGCTGCTGTTGGACAGATGGAGGGACTGTGCCAGGAGAATCCTCTCCCTGGGCCTGGGAGCCCCGTGGTGGTACCCAGACCCCATCTACACCTGTTTGTCTCTTTGGTCTTTGAAGTAGCAAAATACTGTGCTTTTGCATATCAAGGGTAGGAGCTGTAAGCTATGGCTTTTCTCTTGAGGAAAATTTCAAGTTTTAAAACTAACTGCAACCCTTTACAAAAAGAGTGCTTGGTATGATGGTATTGGCACACGACAGGCGTCATTGAGACACTCAGTTTTTCGTGTGAATCAGCATTTCTGTGGCACTGAATAGTTTCAAATAAAGAAATGGCATGTTTCCAACTTCAGAGGGGGAAGATACTGGGTGGTTAGGAATTCTTTTCCTTTTGCCACACCGTAGTGGAAATCTTCAGGTGGTTGAAAACCAAACAGCACAGTAATAAAGTAAATTGTGATATTACCTCCTACGGAAATTGTCAGTGGGGTGGCAAGAAGTCCTCAGGCAGAAAAGAACCATTTGTGATGAAGACTCAAATATGTGTTAAAAGTATTTTTTAAAACTTAGTAACTAGAATTTTCAGAAGTGGGCACTGGATTTCAAGATAGGGATTCCCATATGGATTAAATATTGAGTGTGTCCATCTATGATGAAAACAATTTTACACTTCAGTGATGCTGCCTTGCCATATTCATCTTCAAATTCTGATCTTTAATTTCCTAAGTACATCCAGTGTAATCAAGTGACTTTGCTTTATTCAATGAAATAACCTTATAGTAATTATTGTAACTCTTCACTGAAACAAGAGTCTGAAGTTTATTGTGATTCTGTCGATAGAAAAGCTGAGTCAAAGGATTAAGTGAAGATTTTTTGATGACGGCCATTCTGACTGGTGTGAGAATGTAAACTTATATAGCCATTATGGAGAACAATATGGAAATTCCTTTAAAAAAAAAACAGGAATAAATCTACTATATGACCCAGCAACCCCACTACTGGTCATATACCCTGCTGCCGCTAAGTTACTTCAGTCATGTCCAACTCTGTGTGACCCCATAGATGGCAGCCCATCAGGCTCCTCCGTCCCTGGGATTCTCCAGGCAAGAACACTGGAGTGGGTTGCCATTCCTTCTCCCATATACCCTGAGAAACCCATAATTAAAAAAGACACGTGCACCCACAATGTTCATTGCAGCACTATTTACAATGGCCAGAATATGGAGGCAACCCAGATGTCCACAGACAGATGAGTGAATAAAGAAGATGCAGTACATGTACGCAATGGAATATCACTCAGCCACAAAAAGATTGGATTTGAGTCAGTTCTAGTGAGGTGGATGAACCTAGAGCCTGTTATACAAAGTAAAAGAAAAGTTAAAATGTTAGTCACTCAGTCGTGTCCGACTCTTTGCAACTCCATGGACTGTAGCCCACCAGGCTCCTCTGTCCATGGGATTCTCCAGGCAAGAAAACTGTAATGGGTTGCCATTCCCTTCTGCAGGGGATCTTCCTGACCATGGGATCAAACCCAGGTCTCCCACACTGCAGGCAGATTCTTTACCACTGAAGCTACCCAGAAAGCCCTATACTGAGTGAGGTCAGAAAGAGAACAACACATATAGTGTATTAATGCATATATATGGAATCAAGAAAAACGGTACTGATGCACCTATTTGCAGGAAAGGAACAGAGAGGCAGATGCAGAGAGTGGAGTTGTGGGCACCGTAGGGGAAGGAGAGGATGAGACGAATGGAGGAAGTAGCATCAACATAGATACACTATCGTGGGTAAAGTGGGCAGCAGGTGAGAAGTTGCTCTGTAACACAGGGCCCAGTCTGGTGCACTGTGATGATGGAGAGGCGTGGGATGAGGACAGGGAGGCAGGCTCCAGACAGAGGGGATACGATTCATGTTGTTGTATGGCAGAAACCAACACAATATTGCAAAAATTAAAAAATGAACAAAGGGGGGAAAAGGGCTAAACGATCTCTAGAAACTCATCTAATGAGAACTAAAAAGGTCTCTTGATAGACACAACCTCCATACTCAGAAATACACTTTCATATGTACACAGCTGAGCCTGCCCACGTGCGCGCGTACACACACACACACACACACACACACCACACATCATAGAGCCAGGCCTTGGCCAGGATCCTCAAGAAAAAAGCCTGACAGCATCAACCCATGATCCTCAAAGGCACAGTATTTTCAAACAGGACTGTGAGAATATCTCATTTGCACTCAGGGTTTGATTTCAGGTGAAGAGGAACACATGCAACGATCACAGAATGCGGCAGGGACCTGGCCACACATCCTAGTAAAATCTGATGCGTTCAGTAAATCTTCTGAGTGTCCGCTATGCGTCCGGCTTTGCATTCAGCCCTGCAGTGAATACCCTTCCCAAGGCCTCCTTCCAGTGGGAGAGGGAGAGATCAGGGAGCAGTTGCAGGCTGGACTGCAGCTATTTGGCTCCAAAACAACGACTTTATGATCAAGTCCATAAGCCATCTCATTTGTAAATACTGAATTACCACACTGCTGTGTTT